AAGCGACTGCCTTCGGCTCAGGTCATGATCCTGGAGTCCCGGGATCGAGTCCCGCATCGGGCTCCCTGCTCAGCGGGGAGTCTGCTTCTCCCTCTCCCGCTCCCCCCTCTTGTGCTCTTTCTCTCTCTCACTCTCTCTCTCAAATAAATAAATAAAATCTTTAAAAAAAAAAAGACTTTTAATTAATTCAACATCCATTCAGGTCTCCTCAGATGAATCAAAATGTTACTTTGGGATTGATTTAGAAACTTTTATTGGCATGTTCTGTGAAGGGCATATCCAACTCTTCTCTAATCTTGGATCCGTAGGCATTAGCAAAGGATATTGTTGGGATCCAAAAGGATCCCCCCAAGTCAGCCTGACCTGAAACTGCTGGCATGATTGGGTACCACATGGAAGTCTAGAGGTGTGTGGCCATTTGAAGGATACGATGTTTCTGAAGTGTTATCAGTGGATTATTGAATCTACTAATGCTCAATAACCTATTTGTAAAGTTCAGTAGGTGTTCTAAGATTGGGTGGCAGAGTCGATCTTTACAGAAAATGGGAGGGGGTCAGCATAGTTCATTGGTTTAGTCTTGTAGTTTGTTTAGCTAGAGCGAATAGTCCAGAGTTCAGTATCTTAATGAGAGAAGCAGTTATCTTAATTAGAGGCAAGCAAACGATTTTCTTATTGATATCCACAGTCCTCCCTGGCTGTTTCAGATCTACCAGTGGATGATCCAGATAAGTGAGAAGTACACAGGAGTGGTGACACAGCATTTCCTAGGAATGACCTATGAGATCCGGCCCATGTATTATTTGAAGGTGAGTGAAAAGGCTGGAAATTACCTTAATTACTTAGTTCATTGCCCTCTTACCACTTACTGTGGACATGTTAATTTACAAAGCACATTCCCAAATTTGAGAGTTATCTAGAACTACAAAAAAATCTATTGGCTCTGAAATTGAATTTACCCAGGATCTGAGTGAATGATTGGCTAATATGTTAAGCATGGGGCGCCTACCTACCTGATTTTGGATAGGCCGTCAAATTCAGAGCTGAGTCAGCCAAAAAAGATATCTAGATATCCTCTGCCTGGGGCTCTTTTAAAGAGTAGAATTGGTATATAATAAGGAAGCAATAAAGAAAAATATATAATCAAATACATGTACTCATAAAAAGGGTAATTATAAGAGGGAATGAAGATAAAAGGTGGATTAGGAAATATGCTGGCTGGATTAGGAAAATGGGTGAGGCTCTAGGGAAAAAGCTCCTTGAATATGATGGATCCAGTCTTGTCTTTATCCCAATTTGTAAATTTCTCACTGATAAAGAGGTAGAGCCTTCATCAGCCCAGCTCCCAGTGGCTTTCAATGAATAGCTCGAGTCTAGGCCATTTACATTCAAAGCAGACGTGACTGTGACAAACTTGGTAATGTTCACGACCTCTTCTCCATCAAAGAGAATCCACACTTGCCAGGTTAATTCCTACCTGGCCCACCCCTCTGAAAGAGGAGGGGATCTTTCTTGCTGGAGTGAGGCTAGACTGAGGCACAAGAATGGCACAGGGAGAAATGAAAGAAGACTGGGTTGACCAGAAGTGGATAGTGGTGGGTGTCTCTCCCATCATCCCTGCCTCATGCTTGGAATCACAGAGTGGAGAAAGAAAGGGACCTGTAGGAGAATAAAAAACCTGGTAACTTTGCACAGCAGCTTATGATTATAAGCAATTGTTTGGTAATAGAGTACGGATGTCTCCTCCAGATCAGCCAACCATCCAATAACCCCAAGAAGATCATCTGGATGGACTGTGGAATTCATGCCAGGGAATGGATTGCCCCAGCTTTTTGCCAATGGTTTGTGAAAGAAGTAGGTGTTTTTAGCTTTCTTATAATGGTTAATTGCCCAACAAAATACCTGTCACATCTTAGCTGTTTAGAAAGCTTGCTTCTTTCTCAGGTAGGCAATGCAGCTCTCTACTGAGTTACTCCTTCACCCCAAGGGAAATGGAATTTATAAGTAGCTTCACTGAAAACTGAGTTAGGTATTATCTCCACAATAATTTGTACTGGAAGGTAAACCACATATCTAAGTGAAGAAGACAATACATCGCGGAAGTTGGAGATGAGTAAAGCCTGGTGCTGCCTTTTTCAGAGAGTCTTGAGCAAATTTTCTAACACCAGGACCCCTCATTTTTCACCTGCAGAAGGAGCTTGGAATGGCCTCTTTAGGGGATCTATAGTGCAGATGAAGAGATTTAGCATGTGGAAAATACCTAGCTCAGTGAATTGTTATGTATTAGCTATATCCTATAAGATAATCTTTGTGTCAGTCTTTTCAGAAACCACAACAGAAAGAAGCCCACAAGGAGCAGTTCTCCAAGTGTGGTTCCTAGACCAATAGCATCAACATAACTGGGAACTTGTGAGAAATGCAAATTCTGGGGCTTCACCTCACCACCTTTGACCTAGTGAATTAAGGGAAGGGGGTGAGGTGGGGGAGGAGAGCCAGGCAGTCGTATTTTAACAAGCCCTCCAGGTGATTCTGATGGAAAATAAATCTTGAGAATCACTACCATAACAAATAGGACAACTGAGGCAGGGTTGGAGGGCAGGAGAGTAGAGGTTCCATGTGCAATCACCTCTCATAATTATGTTGAAATTGTTAGAAAATTGAAAAAAGACCTCTTCCTGGGAGCATTTCAAATGTTTCTCTCTTAAATTTTCAGATTCTACAAAACTATAAAGATAACCCAAGGATAGGAAGGTTCCTTAGAAACCTGGACTTCTATGTGCTTCCTGTTCTTAACATAGATGGTTATATCTATACTTGGACAACTGTGAGTACATCGAGTGTGGTTCTGGGATGAATCCATGAACTAGATCTTGACTCAGGTTCATTTTTCTGACCTTAGTCATTGTAGTGACAGAAATGTTTTGGGGCCATGTAGAGAAAGAAACCCCATTTGGGATAAAAATCAACTCAGTATTGTTAAGCCAACAATCTATATTAAGTTTAGGATGGAGAAAGTGGGGGCCTTGTTAGAGTTGAAATCCAGCACGTGTTTTTATGTTTGTTTGTTTGTTTGTTTTTGACATATTCCCAGATTTAACTTTTCTCCAAGTCCACCTCCTTCAAGTTTGTGGACTGCCTGTCTGATTGGTATAAAATTCATATACTACCTTGTAATCACCCAGTTTTGAAGCATGAGGGGCACAAATGATGTATAAATTCTAAACCAACTTTCATTTTCCACTGTGATCATTCACACAGGGGGCAAACATCTCATAAAGTTTTTAGTTAATGGAAAACTTCCTCTTGGGGCAACTGGATGGCTCAGTGGGTTAAGCATCTGCCTTCAGCCCAGGTCATGATCCCAGAGTCCTGGGATCGAGTCCCGCACATCAGGCTCCCTGCTCAGCAGGTTGCCTGTTTCTCCCTCTCCCTCTGTACCTCCCCCACTCTTGTTCGCGTGCTCTCTCTCTCAAATAAATAAACAAAAAAAAAAAATCTTAAAGAAAACTTCCTCTTTAAAATGTTCTGAAAGTGGATCGCTCCACAAACAAGAATCCGTTTCTAGAGAATATCCATTCCTCCCTTTTCCCCTTTGCTCCCCCAAAAGCGGTTCCTGGGACTCTTTTTCCTGCAGCAGCCTTTCAGCCTGGGTATAAATCAAATTCTTCCCTCCAAGCTTGTCTGGAGAAACTTGTCTTTATGCTCATCTCCACTCATCAGTCTTCTGCTTCCAGAAATGTGCAGAGACCATCACTGATACACCTGGAACAGCCTTTTTCCATCTGCCAAGCTATTTACCTTTCATCCTGTATCACTCGGACATAAAAAATGACTCTCTGAAGCTTTCCCTGATTAAGCAGATCACGTCCACCAGGCACTGCTAATCTGCTCATGAGGAAAAAGCCATACTCCCTCCAATTTGATAGTGTACATGTAGGTACGCTTGGATTGGACAGATGTTCCTGTTATTGGGTGTTGCTGGCCCATCTGTGAGACTAAAAATTATAGGCACGAGTTTTGTTATATTAAAGGCAAATTTTCCCAGACAATCCTAGGGACTATTTTTTATGTTCCAGGGCCACCCACTCATCCCCAACACTGTGATTTATGAGGCCCTAGAACAGCAGCTTTTCTATGTTCCTCTGTTACAGGATCGGCTTTGGAGGAAATCCCGTTCGTCCCATAATAATGGCACATGTTTTGGGACAGATCTCAATCGAAATTTCAATGTGGCCTGGTGTAGTAAGTACACGTTTAGTTGATGACTTGATGAGCAAAGAATGGAAAAGAGAAGCTAGGATGGAGGTGAATTACTAGAGATAAAACTTTCAAAAATAAACATCTAATTTTGCACAGCTCTCTGGACTTCTTGACCAGTGTTTTCACCCTAAGGGATGACATTATCTATGCAGGAAGAACCAGCAACACTCAAGTGCAGGACTCTTTTCAAGTGGGATTGGCTAAATGAGGGCAAAGAAGACCTAAATCAAAGTGAATATGTTTGAAATCTATCACTTTATTTTTAAATATATGAATTTTCATAAAGAAAAGAAAAAAATCAGAGAATTATCCTTGCAGATTATTTTTATAGTGGGAAGGCAGAAGTAAATAAGGCAAACATTTCCTTCTCCTTAAGGCATGTTCATGTTTCTGAATCTCAACATGCCCAGTGAATCAGAAGCAAATAAAGAGGTAGAAATGGTTAAGAGCAATCTGGTTAAAAACCAGATGGCAAGGGTTAAAATACAGACTCGGCGGCTGTGTGGTCTTGGAAAAATCGCTTCATCTTTCTGCTTTAGGTTTCTCTTATTTAAAATGTGGGCCGTAGTCCTACCATCCAATCAGTAGGTAGTTGTGGGGATTTGATGAGTTGCCACAGAGGAGGGGCTAACCACCATGTCCAGTGGGTACAAGGTGCTCAGCTGCTGGTCCTTATTATCATCACTGAGGAGAACAGACTACTGTGTCCTTGCAAAATAGCTCTACTGAGATGGAAGCCAGTAAGACAGTGAGAGAGACTTAGCCTGACCTAGGAACCCAAGAACTGGTTCCCAAACATCTATTTCAGGGCCCACCACAGGTTTAAGTAAAACATGACTGAAAATGCCATTTCGTTTTGCGTCTTCCTTTGTGGGCCATGGAAGCATGGAGGTTGTCTCTAAATCTGAATGTCAGCCCTCCTGCCTTTCTGAGTTCCTCCTTGAATGACTACCCTTGCTCACTAATTTAACCTGAACTAAGCCAGGGCAAGCCCCAATTCCACCCACAGGTTGCCCTGAGCAAGGGTGACTCCTTGCCCTCAGTCCATTCTAAACTGGTATCATGTTGACTTCTTCGTGGTTTTCTGTATGTTCCAGGTATTGGTGCCTCTAAAGACTGCCACGATTTAACATTCTGTGGGACAGGACCAGCATCGGAGCCGGAGACTAAGGCTGTTTCCAGCTTTGTAGAGAGCAAGAAGGAGAGCATTGTGTGCTTCCTGACCATGCACTCGTATGGGCAGCTCATTCTCACGCCTTATGGCTACACTAAAAATAAGTCCAGTAACCATGAGGAACTGGTAAGACCATAGCACCAGAGCCTTTACAAAAGCCCCCGTGGGACCCTGGCTTTCCTTTCTCTGGTTTCCATTTTCAAGATTTTGGCTCCAGACCTGCTTTTGTTCTCTCTGCTCTTCCTTATTTTCTTTCTTGTGCTTTTTACACCTTGCCAGACGCCTGCTGGGAAGGCTTCAGGTTAAATGCTGCTTTACCTACATTAATTAACTACCTGTTTCGTAAAGTGTCAAGTTGGGAGACATCTTAGGTATTCGTCTATAATATAAATGAGACGATTATGTTAATAATCTGCAGGAATGTGCTTTCATTTCTGTAAATTCTCTTGAAGCTCCGTTCAGCAATTATAGCTTTTGAACCGTGCTTTAAAGAACTTGCCAGCAGTTAGTGGAATATGGCGTATCTAAAATAACATGGCTAAATAATATCTGCTCTCTTCTCTGCTAAAGCAAGGCTTTATTTTCTTCTATACTCTGCTTCTAGTATTTGCTTAGGGATATGTGTAAGGAGAAGTGCCAGCGAAGTCCAAGCCGGTGCAGGGAAAGTGCCCTTTACTACATCCGGGTCCTCTGAAGCTGTGCTTACTCAAGCACCAGGCACAACTGCTGAATAGGACCGGTCTTTTTGCCCTTTCATGCACCTGAGGACAGCGGACACAAATCAAAGGGAGGGCACATTTAGAATTGTTGTAATATTTGGTATCTTAAAAAAACATTATTTTTTTCTACGTTTAGTCACGGCAAAATTCGCAAAACCTAAAATTTACCATCTTCACCATTTTTAAGTGGACAGTTCAGTAGTGTTACATATGTTCACATTATTGTGCAACTGATCAAAACTCTTTCGTCTTGTACAGTGGACACTCTGTACCCATTAAAAACAACTCCCGGTCCCTGTTGCTTCTGTAGACCACCCTTCTACTTTCATTTTCTGTGAGTTTGACTGCTCTGGATGCCTCGTACAAGTGGAATCATACAGTATCTTTTTGTGACCAGCTTATTTCATTTAGCATAATGTCCTCAAGGTTTATCTATGTTGTATCATATGTCAGAATTTCCTTCCTTTTTATGGCTTAATAATATACCATCATATGTATGTATCACATTTTCTTTATCCATTCATCTGTCAGTACGTATTTGAATCGTGTCCACCTTTGGACTACTGCAGATAATGCTTCTAAGAACATAGGTATACAAAGATCTCTTTGAGATCCCACTTCCAACTTTGGGGGTATATAACCAGAAGTAGAATTGAAGAATCATATGACAGTTCTGTTTTTAATTTTTGGAGGAACAATCATACTGTTTTCCAAAGTGGCTGCTCCATTTTCTACTCCGACTAACAGTGCACAGGGTTCCAATTTCCCCCACGTGCTCATCAACACTTGTTAGTCTCTGCTCATCTTTTTTATTTTTTAGAACAAACCCCTCATTATCAGTAAATGCTGGGATGGATGGAGGCTAAGCTCACTCTGGTCTTGAGGTCACAGAGGCTTGGGAACCCAGTGGTTCTCTCACCTGTCCTGTCCCTCTCCCACTGGAGCATGACCCGGAGAACACATGTCTGGGCATAAAAAGAAAAACCATTACTGATCTTTGCTGAAGGAAGCCCTTCCCCCAACAACCAAGAATATCCAGTAGTACTTCAATAGCTTTCTTACAGTGTTTTTGGACATTTGTACTATGTGATCATTTTGCAAGATGTGACAATAACGAACATTTGCTTAGCACTTTGCAATTTACAAAGGGATTTTAGGACCATTATCTCATCTGACCAGATGACAATATAATAAGCTCCCTTTGAAGCTGTAGATATTGAGACCTTGAGTTAACAATAGACAGTGACTGGTAGAGCCCAGGTTAGAACTCATGTCTTCAGACTCCAGAGGCTACATTCATTCAGCCTCCTCATACTGCCTCTCTGCTCGGAAAGGGCATGCGACTTCTAGGAGCTCCTTTTAACTTTGATGACCAGATCACTGTGTCCTATTTCCTCCTATTCCTGAGCTCTAGAAATTTCATTTCTTCAGTAAAGGAAACTGCAGAAACAGAGATTTCAGTTGAGAAGCCCAGAACTTGTTTTATCTCCCAGTTCCTGTGGTATTTGTTGTAGATGTCTACTTTCTGCTCAAAGGGATCTGTGACAAACACGAATGAACCACCAAAGGCAGGCCACTATAGATCTTTAATGGACCAGGCCTTCCACCAGCAGAAAAAAGCAGACTGTAACCCCTGGTATTTTTTTTTTTAGGGAATTCTGTTCCCTTCTTGGCTCAGGAAAACAGATACTATATGACCATTTTGCAAAGTTTGTATTCAAAGGTGAGAGGGTCTTGTGCTGTTGGTTCTCTGGTTAGAGCCCTCTGGCCACAGACTAGAGGAGGCAAAATGGCAGGAGAGACCTATGGCACTGACGTCACCACGGCTGGAAGGTTAGGGTTAGGTGGGAATTACCGAGAACCCTTCAGTACCATATGCAGAAATGGGCACATCGAATTGAGAAAGGGCACTTCCATTCTGTATCTCTTACAGCCTCAGGTGCTAAAGAGTTAGCATAAACATTCATCTCCAAGACCTGTCAATAAAAAGACAGTGTGAAAATTTTGCCACCTGTGTCAACCTCATTGAAGCTAGCTAGCAGTTGTTTTAAGTTCTTATGAGTAAGCTTTGATAGAGTGCACAAAGACACAGAATCAAGCCAACTGTTGAAGGAGATCTCCATTTTTGGTACTATTTACAACTACCAGAGACTAGTAATTAATCTCTATGTATTTACAAAACCAAAAATTTGTAGAAATCATGATAAATATTATACTGCATGATAGACAACTTGGCAATCACTATGTAGGGGAAACATAACTATATATAGCCCTGTTCTAAATTGCTCTGGAAATTAGAATAGCTATAAAAATTCTAATGTTTTAAATGCTGACATTCTTTCCACTTGAACTCTTCCCATATCAACTTCTAGCTCCTATCCCAAGCTCTTTCCTCCCACACACATGCCAGGGCCTCCATCAACCTTTTTTGTGTGCCTCCCTGTGAATATATGCCTGTAGGAAACTCTCTGGGAGTTATTAAGGAGGCTTGAGGTCTTTAGAAATGTAAATCATGTACTACTGGCAAGAGGATTTTTACTGTTTTGACTAACGTTCCTTTGGGCTGAGAAGAAGGTCAGCAGAGAAATTGGCTCCCTATGGCCGTGTGGTATATTGTCAAAAGGAGAGGGAAGAATAATCAGGAGGTCCACCCTTAAGGATAGAAGTCAGAGTCTTAGGATTTTATTTCATCTTCTGGGAAAGAACCAAGTCTACAACCTAGGGTCACAACTGTATACTTCTCATATACTACTCCTATCAACTTCCCCATAGTAAGAAGAAGAAAGCAGGAAGACTGTTCCCACCCCACAGGATGTGAGGGAAAGGAATTACATAGGATAAAATAAGTAAAGGCTGGCAATCAGAAAAAAGAAATGGTTGTCTGGGGTGAACAGACAAGAAAAAAATGCAAGAGTCATTTGGAAGGAAAATGTAGCCTGGAGCTGATGCATATAACCCAAATAAAAGTTAAGGTCCCACGTGGACCAGTTAGCATGGAGTTTCATTCAGAGAAATGCAGAAACATATGGGAATTAAAAATAATTAAAGGCAATTCATGTCTCTACCAGACTTTGAAAGAACTTCAAAAGGGAGTGTAGCTGGTAAATCATAGCAACTCTTTCCCCCTCCCCGCCTCATGCTCTTCATTTCACTCACAGATAACAACTACCCTGATCCTTTCTCTGCACCCTTCATTTTTATTTCGTTAGCAGAATTTATCTCTCCAGAAATCTTCTTTCTGACTCTCTTCTCCTTCTTATTTTCTCTTCTATCTACAAAAACAGCTCTTGTACCTCTTTGCAGTGTAAATTATTCAAACCAGCTTTATTTCATGCACTTCTCAAGCCCTTCTTACCAATCATGTCATTCTGGACAATGAGCCCAGGACCTAAGCCAGACTTAGAATCCTTTTTTTAGGAAGAGAGAGAAGGTGACTGGCCCAAGACAGAATTCTCAGTAGTGAGTAAAGAGGAGGCAAAGCTCTTGAACATATGTTCAGTTGAATGTTTTTTCTTTTATCTTTGCCACACACAGAAAGTCCCAAGCGCCCTAAGAATGCTGCTCACAGCTGCTGTATATGACCTACCACCACTTACTCCCTTTTCTACTCTTCCTTTTGAACTTCACCATGCCTATCCCTACTCTTGCCCACGCACCGCTCTGTCATACCCCAGGATTCAGCTGGACAGTGAAGGACAATGCAGGACCAAGAAGGTTTAAAGTTAGACTCATCACTAGTCAGAAGTCAGAGGAGCTGATGCACCTGCAAAAGCAGTCAGGCTGCCCTAAGGGGTAAAGAAAGCAAAGGTGGATCACAGTCCAGGCAGGGAGTGGTCAAGGGGATTTTGGTGGTGTTTGTGTAAAATCTAAGGGGAGGTATTAGGGAGTCTGGGGTGGGGAAAACTTAGAGAAGACTATTGAAAGACTGTTGAAAGGGTATGTGAAGAAATTTATCAGAAGGTTAATAAACATAGCCAATACACTTGGATCTCTCAGTGTTAGTGGCTCTGATCTCAGGAAAAGGTTTGCAGAGAGCAAGGCTGAGACATTAGAAATCATTCAGTTCTGAGAGATTTCCAGTGCAGTCAGGTGACATGGTGGTAGGTGTGGGGAGGGGTGTAGCCTCTAGCTCTGAAATCCTATAAGCCTATAAGAGATAAGTATCAAATACCTATAAGGAAAAATAAGAAGGGAATTATAAGAGAAGTATGAACAAAGGGCCACGTGGTGGGGGGGAAGTGGGGAGAGAGAGGATTTAGTTGGGGTGATGAGGAAAGGTCCCATGGAAGAGTCAGCATTTGAAAAAGTCTTTTGAGGTTGGGTAGAATTTCAACAGGCAGAGAAAAGAGTTAAGGCATGCCAGGTGGACTGAATATCCAGATAAAAGGTAGAGAGTCTGAAGAAATGGGCATGTCTGGGGAACAGTGGGAAAACTTGAGAGTGACTATCATCTAGGGTAGGATGTAAAGAATATGGTGTGGGAAAGGTGGGCTAGGGCCACATCGTAAAGGATCTCAAATGTGAAACTGAAAAGCTTGTGATTAATTCAGTGGGCAATTAAGAATAAGGCTTTTCGGCAGGATCATGATCATAGTTCTATTCTACCGAAGTTCACCTGGAATCCAGAGGAGATCGACTGGGATAAGGATTGGTGAGAGGAAGAGAAACTTACTAAAAGAATACAATAGTCCATTTCAGAGGTAATGAGACCAAAATAGGGTGATGGTGCTGGAAATGCAACTTGGTAACATTTGAAAGAAGGAGAGTCAAAGGTGACTGCAGGATTTTATGTGTGTTTGGGGGAGCAGATAAGTCAGAAATATGGAAACCAGAACAGCTTTATTAGTGGGGGAATGATGAAATTGGGTGTGAGTGTGTTGAGTCTGAAGTACCAGAAGGCTACCTAGGTATAGAGGTCCAATGGGAAGTTAGAAAGATGGTCTGGAACTCTGGAGATGGATTTGGACAAAATACCCAACCCTCTGGATTGTTGGATTTATTTTTAACACCAGATATCTGTCTCTGCATTTCCCACCTACAGATCCAAGTTGGACAGAAGGCAGCAAATGCATTGAAAAAAAAGCATGGAACCAATTATAGAGTTGGATCGAGTGCAGATATTTTATGTAAGTAGCTTTTTTTGCCTCTTCAATAGTATCTAAGGCACAAAAGAAGCCAGTGGACTTTGGGGAGTGGGATAGGCAGGAGAGGGACGGAAGAGCTCCCTGGGTTCAACAGGAAGTTGTACAAATCAAAATGACCAAGGATAAAAGGGAGTCTGTACAAATACAGAATTATGCTCTCTAGGGATAAAGTGTGAGCTAAAAGAAAAAAAATTAATACACTGGCTCAGACCAGAACTCCCTCTGGCTTCAGTTAAAAAGAGCTGGCAAGTGAGAAGGTACAGGAGTTAACAGGAAGGACGTTTTCCAGTGACCCTTGGTCAGTTGATTCAGTTCTCAGAGGACCTATCAGTCTGAGAAAGCAAAGTAGGTGGGGCCTCGAGAAAGGATCTTACACAGAAAAGAATTTAGTTAAAAGGACAGTGCGCAGCTTTTCCCCAACCCAGCCACAACCTCCTCCACCCACCTGAGGACCACCTGGATAATATTTGCATAATATTTTCCTTGTTGCTCATTTTACTTCTGTTCCTTTATATGCCAGTTCACTTGCCTTGTAATAATAGGTTGTCTAGTCTTTGATTCAGTGGAGAAACTTTACCCAAACTTCTGCTATATGCCAAACATAATGCTAGGTATTCTGGGAGGTGGCGAGGGGAGACAGGCTAAACGAGACGTACTTCCTGCCCCACAGGGTGTCATATCAATGAGAGGGAGAATCCTTAATATGAAAAAGTTCACTAATGTTGCTGCATTGAGCCTTGATTCCCTGAAATAGCCATAGAAACCTGTCCTTTCGCAATATAATTTCTACCTCTGCCTTCATGCTTTTGTTTGTAGATACCACATCAGGGTCCTCAAGAGACTGGGCTCGGGACATTGGTATTCCCTTCTCATACACGTTTGAGCTGAGGGACAATGGTACATATGGATTTGTTCTGCCAGCCGCGCAGATTCAGGCCACCTGCGAGGAGACCATGGAGGCCGTGCTCTCGGTCCTGGATGATGTCTATGAGAAATACTGGGACTCAGATGGTGCTGGAAAGGGGACACCTACTGCCGTGGTGCTGGGCCTGCTGGTCTCCTTCATGTCTGTTCTCTGAGTCTATCCTACCCAGGTCTGCTCAGCCCCAGTCATGAGAATGTGGCTGCAGGGAAGGTGTTTGTCTGAGGCTAAAGAGGAATCAAATAATTTAAAGATACTTTCCACTTCAATAAAGAGGGATCATGTTTGCATTCTCAGGTGTGTTTTGCTGGTAATCAGTTATTACTTTAAAAGAGTATACTATTAGTTATTGCTGCAACAATGCCACACCGAGCCACTCCAAAGTTCAGTGACTCATGAATCTGTAGGTCTGCTGGGAAGTTCTGCTGATCTTGGCCATGCACATTTATGCATCTGTGGTCAGTTTCAGCGCAGCTACCCTGGGGCCTAAAGATGTTTTTTTCTCATCTACATATTTTGAAAAATTTGCTCATTTTTTTGGAACCAGGTTCACGTTTAATTTTGTATTATTGAATTAGTAGCATCATTCAGAATTATATAGTCGTTGCTGGCTTTATTTAATATTGTCTTTATTTATTTATTCGTAAATCCTTTTTCAGAATCTGCTAGGTATATTTTGCTAAGCTCTAGGGTTACAGTGGTGAATAAGATAGGCATGGCCCCTGTCCTCTTGGAATTTCTATTCCAGTGGGTGAGATTGGGGATGGTAGCTATAAATAATTAGAATGGACACACTGTTGCATACAGGGCAACTCTGGCTCAGGGGAGCCATAATAATCAAGAACACAAATAAATAAACTGAATATTGCAGCTTGTAACAGGTGCTATGAGAGAAATAAAGAGTAAGGAGAGAGGTAAGCAAGGGCCAGATTGTACATATACAAGAATATAGGCATTTAATTGTGCTATCTTGTCTATTAAACTGCAAGTGCTCTTAAGGTAGTGTCTATGACTGTCATTTCCTATGTATCTCTATGTGACACCTTGAAATGGTGCTAAGCACTTGTCAGGCTTTGAACAAACGTTGTAGCTGTAACCAGCTGACACAGCATCCTTGGGTGTTCAGTCACCCATTTCTAAATTTCCTTGTTGGTCACAGTCACAATACACTTCTTGGTTGTAACCCTTTTATTGCCTTTCTTTGTCCTCTTTATTTCTTCCTGTTTTGCCAGTGTGTGGCTGATAAGGGTCAGAAAGAAAAAAAATGTCAGGGGCAATAGGGCTTAATGAATCAGAGAACAGCTATTTACATAAAAATGCCAACTCCACAATTGTGGCATTGTCAGGAGACAATGGTGGGGTCTCATCAGTAGTCAGCCTAGGAGGGAAGAAAACTAGTGTGACCACCAATGCAATATTCAAGAAAAAAGTGAGGGAGCTATGCCTTGGAACATGGATTATCAGCTTTCATCTAGCCTGTGTTTTAGTATCTATGACTGTCTTTTAACAACTTGGACCTCTAAGTATTATAGGAACTCTGACCTACAAAGCTTAATTTATGTCTAAAGATTGAGCCTATGGGCAAATAAAATTGGAAGGGAACAGATGGAGATGCAAGCTATTAGCTTGCCTGAAACTTCTTACATGGATTCTTCCAAGAGTCTAGGGCACAATCATAGGTTTCTTGGGGTGCTTCACATGGCTCTGAGGCCAGGGTGGGGATCTGAGATCCAGGACATATTTTTTTACTTCTTCTGAAAGTTTTTTATTTCCTGTGACAGGATCCTTTTTTTTTTTTAATTTAATTTTATTATGTTATGTTAATCACCATACATTACATCATTAGTTTTTGGTGTAGTGTTCCATGATTCATTGTTTGCATATAACACCCAGTGCTCCATTTAGTGTGTGCCCTCTTTAATACCCATCACCAGGCTAACCCATCCCCCCACCCCCTTCCCTCTAGAACCCTCAGTTTGTTTCTCAGAGTC